CCAATATCATTAAATATTGTGTTAATACATGAATTGTAGTGCTTTGATAATGTTATAGAATATCAAATGTCATTATTTGTTTAAACAGCACTTTTTTTCTTATTACAACTTTCCCTGCATTTAATATTGGATATGAATTAATGCAGTAAATAGCACAGTGCAAGAGAGTAGAAAGGAGAAAAGGGGAGAGTGATGAGAATAAATTGGAACGTCATTAGCAATTTCATTCAATATAAAGAATCAGCTAGCCTATATGCAATCAACTCCCTTCAGCTTGATATGAAGCTCTATCAATCACTTTTTTTGTTTCTCCCAAGAATTGAAGACCCAAATCTATTTTTTATTTCATTTTATTGTTCAACTTTAGTTATTTAATTTAATTAATTGGGAGCTCTGGTGGTGTAGTGCCTAAGGCATTTGACTACTAACCAGAAAGCTGGTGGTTCAAACCCACCAGCCACTCCTTGGAAGGAAGATTGGGCAATCTACTTCTGTAGAGATACCACCTTGGAAACCCAAAGAGGGGTCACTATGAGTCACAATTAACTCAGCAGCAGTGAGGTTTTTTGTTTTGTTTGTTTGTTTGTTTAGTTTAATTAATATGTTATCTAGAAGTGAGGTGGAAACACTGAACCAGTGTTGGAACTCTAATGAAATTGATCCTTTTCCTTGTCATGATTTGCACAAATATTATGTTCTGTTTCTATTTTCTTTAAAAATTTTTCTTATTAATTTTTGGTATGGAACAGTATAACATATGCATGTGATTTTATTTATTTCTCTATTCTTTCTGGATTAGTAACAAATACTTATCCATTCAAAATGAAATAAATATTTTTCCCAAATGTTAATATTTTTATATTATGTACATAAATTGTAACTACGATATGTTTTATGCATACAATGTGGACTGACATCCTAATTCAAGTTTTCTCTCATGAATCAGCCAAATTTTGTAACATCATTAATAATAATAATAATACAGAGAATAAATGAAGGCTTTTGTCTCATTTCTTTGTTTTCATTTGCTTTCTTCAGAGGTATATGAATAGTAAATAAGAATCCAGGAAACTAACTGTGCCAAACTTATAATGGGAGTAAATTACTTGTTCTAAATATGTACATTTGTTGTTTGTCATTGTTCTGACACCTATTGACATCAGGCCAGGTCAGAAAGTTCTTTGAGCTCTCTTTTTCTAAGATGTGTGTTGTATCCAAGGCTATTGTGGTAAGTTTTTCTCAACTGGTATTAAAAATTGAATTTTGGCAGTCGGAAGATCTTAGATTCCCAAGACATTATGTCTTTCTCAAATGGTCCTGTTCTTCCTGGCACCCAACTTCAAGTAATTAAAATTAAATGATACTTTGTTTCCAATTTACTATGGTTATTTCAGGCAAATAGCTCTTACTAATAATTCATGATAAGAGGGATAGTTAGGCTTAATTAGGTTGAAAAAAATTTGTTATCTATTCAAATATGAGCCAATAGACCCAAATTGCAGTATAATTCTAAATAAATGATAATCTTTTCTAATTTAGGAAGTTTCTCTTTGCAATCGTATAGTACATTTTTATACACAGTGGAGAATATTTCAAGAAGCTCTGGTGGTATACTGGTTATAGCATTTGGCTGCTAACCAAAAGGTCAGTGGTTTGAACCCACTAGCTGCTCTATGGGAGGAAGATGAGGCGATCTACTTCTGTAAAAATCTGCAGACTTGGAAATCCAATGGGGGCCACTTTGAGTTGGAATCAACTCCATGGCAATGAGTTTGGGTTTTGGATTTTGAGATGATATTTCAGATTATTATTTTTCTTGTCCCATCAATTTGCTTTTTTATTTTTATCTTGGTATCACATGCTTGTTGCATAAGATTTAATCTCTGTCAGGATGACACTTTTCAAAACATTTTAAACCTAATATTACTTATAATTTCTGTGAACTTCAGAATTATTTTGCATTTTAAATAATTTCTATTTGTATTTAGTCAGAATTGTGTTTAGTATGCAATTGATATATTTACACTACACATTTGTAAGAACAATACTATATTGTTGACTCTAATGTCAGGCAGCCCAGGTTTAAATGTAGAATGAGGGGTACCATTGCTGATGTCAGATGGATCTTGGCTAACAATAGAGAATTTTGAAAAGATATTTCCCTGTGTTTATTGGCTATGCAAGGTATTCAACTGTGTGGATCATAATGAATTATGGATTATATTTTGAACAACTTCAATTCCAGAACACCTGATTGTGCTTATGTAGAACTTGTATATAAAACAAGAGGTAGTTCAGACAGAAAAAAGGGATATTGCATGATTTAAAATCAGAAAATGTATGCATCTGGGTTGTATCATTTCACCATCCTTATTCAGTTTGAATGTTGAGCAAATAATCTGAGAAGCTGGAGTATATGAACAAGAACACAGCATAAGGATTGGAGGAAGACTCATGAGCAACATATGATATCAAATAACACAAACTTGCTTGTTGAAAATAAAGAGGATTTGAAGTTCTTAATGAAGATCAAAGACTACAATACAGTTTTCAGTGTGGATTACACCTCAACAAAAAGAAAACAAAAATCCTCACTAGTAGACCAATAAGCAACATCATGATTAACAGGGAAAAGATTGAACTTGTCAAAGATTTCATTTAACTTAGATCCACAATCAATGACTGTGGAAGCAGCAGTCAAGAAATCAAATGACATTTAGCATTGGACAAATCTGCTGCAAAAGACCTCTTTAAAGTGTTAAAATGTAAACAAGTTACTTTGAGGACTAAGGTACACCTGACCTACGCCACTGTATTTTCAATCACCACATATGCATGTCAAAGCTGGACGATGAATAAGGAAGACTGAAGAAAAATTTATGTTTTTTTATTATGGTGTGGGTGAAGAATATGAGTGTGGTCTGCTAGAAGAATGAATATACCTGTTTTGGAAGAAGAACAGGCAAAATGCTCCTTAGAAGTGAGGATAGAGAGACTTTATCTCTCATACTTTGGACATGTTCTGAGGAGAGACCAATCTCTGGAGAAGGCTTGGTAGAGGATCAAAGAAGAAGACCCTTAATGAGCTGGATTGACACGGTGGCTACAGCAACAGGATCAAACAGCAATGACCATGAGGATGGTGTAGGACCAGCAACATTTCCGTCTGTTGTATATAGGCTCACTA